TTATCTATGCCTTTCGCCTCCAGATAAGAAGCTCCTGGCAGGTGGCTGCTGTTGATGTGGAAGGCAGGAGCTGCCACCGCATGGTGTAGGTGGGCTCAGAGAGATGCTGCTCCCACGGACTCTGCGATGCAGCCCAGAGAAGGCAGGTTCCTTTCTTGTGATGCCCTAAACAAAGCAAGTTTATACATGTGCTGCTGGCGTCCAGCATGTACCATACGAGGGCTGTTGAGTCAGAAATTGGCTTCAGAGAGGTTGCCTGGCTGTTCCAGCTCTGCAAGCCGCAGTGCAGTGGTGCTATGGAGCCTGACCTGAAATGCTAAGATGGGAAGCCCCTTCATATTCAAAGATCTGGAGCTCTTTCTAGAGCTTTTTGGGGAGAAAAAAAGCCTTTTCTCTCAATGACTTTCCTTGCCTGCTTTTGGAACAGTAAATAAATGCGAGCAGGGTATGTGCTTTTCCATTGTGACCTCTATTGCTTGTTGCAGCTGCTCCTCACACGTGTGTCTCTGTGCAAGTGTCTGCTCGGTGAGAGGCACGTAGCTGGTAGGGAGACAGGAGAAACAGGTCAATGTGAACCTGTGTTTCTAACTAATGAATTGGAGGCATGGTGGCTAGGATGGATCCGTGTTCCTGGTTTGGCAGTGCCCCATGGACTGGCCCTGGGCAAGTTGCTCTGAATCTCGCTTGGCCTCAGTTTCCTGGGCTGTGATGGAGGACATGCTGTCCTCGTTGTACCAAGTGCTCTGAGCTTAGGTGCTGGGTGATGGCGCTCTGAGTGGTGGAGTTGGGTCTGGTGCTGCTGTAAAAACCCCGATTTGGCAAATCTTTGTCTTTGAGTTTCTGTATCTGCGACATGGCAGTGGGGAGGAGAGGGTTTTGTGTGGGTTCAAAGAGGAAGATGATGTGACTGGATAATTTGGGGAGCAAGGAGAGTGCTAAGCAGGCACAAATGGTGACGTGGTGGCAAACCTTCCCTTCGGGGACACCAGTGGGACACTGTTAATAGGAGGTGCGCGTTTCTGGAAACGTGGAGATCTGCTGGAGTTGCCTATTTGTGCTGCATGTTTGGCAAATGCTGGATGCATTTTGATATGTTTAAAGTGCTTAAATGTTTTGGGTTTTTTTTTTAATCAAGGCAACCTAAGCTGTCAAACCTAAGACTTGGGCAGAGCGAGTAGTCTGGAGCTATTTCTGTTTTGTTGCCCTGTGTGTAGTGTTGCCTCCAAGTCATTGCTGTTGCCATTTACTTTCTGGGAACGGTATGTCTCAAATAATGTATTGTCTCCCTGGGGCCCCAAGAAATTTCTTATTTCTATCTCCAGAAAAATAAAAGTGTATTAGCTCCAAAATACAAACCAGAATGCAGCAGTACTTTTCCACCAGGAGAATTTTTCTCTCTTACCAATGTGGCTTTTTTATGGAATGAATAAATGCATTTATAATAACCCTGCGGGTGTGATTTAGGCTAGTGTTCACTGAAGCGACTACCCACAGAGTTGCGTAACCTATGAGAAGATAGATTATAATAAATTGGTTTAGTTCCTATCAGCTATTTCTTTACTGTCCTCTTGATGCCCCTGGCAGAGTGGGTTTTATTTAGCAGCTCAGTTCCCAGAGCGAGGGAGTACACCTTGCTTTGATTTCACCCAAGTTATTTAGCAAAGGTGCAGTGTGAGGTTCTATGAAATCTGGAAAGATAAGGTACAGGTTTTTTGTTTTTTTTTTTTTCCCTTTGATGTGAACTCTTCTGTAGCAGAGGTGCCCACCAACAGCAATCAGTGCCTTCTCTTAGTGCATTTGTGTGTTAAAGGTGTGATGGAGGGTGTCGTGCTTCTGCTGCCTTCCCAGTGCTCACTTTGCCCCCATGTGTTCCCTTGCCCTACCTGGGATTGCCAGAGACCCACTCCAGGCAATGCCATGCCTCTGGCTTTCTTGGCATCCCATCAACCTCCCTCCACTGTTGTCCCATTTGATTTTTGTCAGTGAGGTCTCGGATCCCGCCAGCCTGGGCAGCTCTGAGCGAGGGCTGGCGCTGCAGTGCACAGCTGGTGGTGCTCCCTTCTGCTCCTCATGGTGCCTTTGCTCTGCTTTAGTGTCCAGAACCAGGTGGATGAAGTCATCGACGTTATGCAGGAGAACATCACGAAGGTGATTGAAAGAGGCGAGCGGCTGGATGACCTGCAGGATAAATCAGGTGCGATGCTAGATGCAGCTCTGCTGGCCTGTTCCCCACATCTCTTCCCTGTTCCTGGGCCAGGTTCCCTGGATTCAGTTCAGAAAGTGCCTAATGACAGAAGACCTGGGCATGTATTTCTGTCCTTCCTGGAAGTGGTGTTCTCCAGCCTTGGGCTGCAGATCTGACTTTCTGCTGACATTCTCCTCTTTCCACCTTCGCCTTCTGCCACTCTGCGCAGAGGCATTAGTTTGGAGGTGTTTGGGTGCTGTGATCTAGTTGGTCCGTCAAGCTAAGGTGGACGGGTCTGTCTCCCAACAGCCCTGAGCGCTTCAGCTGTCCGCTCACTTGCTGGCTTGCAGAGCAAACTCCTGTCCTCAGAGAGCAGCCAGTACAAAGGGGGCTCAGTGGGACTCGGCAGATCTGTGTGTGCTTTAGCAAAGGGCATCACGTCGACATCTGCTGTGGCTTTGGTGAATCATGCTGTGGTCGGGTCTTTTCCCCTAATGCCAAGTTTATTGCTTAGAACTCAGGGCGCTTAGTAGAACAAGTGGATGCTCTGTCTGCGCGCGCGCCGCTGAATCGCCTCTTTTCTTTCCTTCAATAGAAAGTTTATCAGACAATGCAACGGCTTTTAGCAACAGAGCCAAGCAGCTTCGGAGACAGATGTGGTGGCGAGGCTGCAAGGTGAGCAAGAACAGGAACAGGCAGGGGCAGGTTTGTGGAGGTGTGGTTACCTGCCCTCCCCTGCAAGGGGATGGAGCTCTGCTTGAAAAGATGCTGGAAGGCAAGGGCCTCCTTCCAGGTCAAAGCAGCTACACATGGCACCCTGTGTAACGTGCCTCTGTGCTCCTTTTGCAGATGAAGGTGATCATAGCACTGGTGGCAGTCATTCTCCTGCTCGTGATCATCGGTGAGTAGCTCCAGGTCACCCCAGCCATGTCTGGTGCTGAAATACTCGTGGCACTCTACAGTGTGAATGGCACCGTGGCGCTGCTGTCCCTGGGGGAGAACACCTGAGCCACTCCTGTGGGGCCCCACTCTGCCTTAAGCAGTCACAAATGGTGCTTGGGGACCACTCCGTGCTGCTTTTCTGCAAGGTTTAAATGCAGAGGAGGAGGCTCAAACCAAATCCTACTGACTGTGGGCGAGGAAAGCCAATGTTGCCCTGCCCTGCCAACACTGTACCGATCCAGGGTTGGCACCGACTGATCCTGAGGCCGGTGGGACTAGATGGAAGGGTTTCAGACTGCAGCAATGTCTCCCAAAGGCCTCTCCACATATATCAACCATCTTGCAATGGGCCTGCTCCCTGCAAACGCTCCTCCCCAAGGCTGCTGAGCTGCTTCATTTTCAGCGAGTAGCTGTTGTGGCTTTGCCGTTGGTCCCTTCCCCTGCCCTCTGCCCTTCTTGGTCTCTGTGGAGCTCCCCAGAGCAGAGATGTTGCTGCCTTTCCTACCAAACAGGTAATAATGACCAAAGCATGTTTCTTCCAGGGAGCAGTAATTCAGCCCTCTGCAGAATGACGTGCTCCAGGGATCCAAGCAGCCCAGCACGGCAGCGCAGCTCTTCTGTGCCACTGGGTCTGGAGGGTTTTCCTCCCACTGACCGTGGCTGGGGACAGCTCTGTAACTGTTCTTACTTCAGCAAAACCCTCACGGCCTGTTGTCCTGCTGACACACAGCCTGCAGCGGGAGAGGCAGAGCTGGCAGCAGGGTGGGAGCGTTGTAGGAAGAGAGGCTGATGGAAAATCCCATCTGGTTTAATTTTGGGAAGCTGGAAGGAGATGAAGGTGGCAGGAGATGTTGTCTAGCGTGTGCGGGCAGCAGATTGCATTAGCTTGAGCTTGGAAACACAATTTCCCTTGCAGCTGCCTGGTGTTTGTCACTACAGAACTGGGGCGGGGGGAGCTCTCTGGCAGGGATCGGTGTGGCATGCGAAGGTGTGTGGCTGAGAGCTTGTTTCTTTGTGTTTTCCAGTACCCATAGTCCTGAAATACCATACCTGACGGGGCAGCTGGAGGCTTCGGTGGAGCTGGCTCTGGGATAACCAAACTGCTGTGTAATTTAAGTGAGATATCTGTATATAGCTTTGAAGTTGTTTTTCTCCAAGGAGTGAGGAGGCGGCGGCAAGTAGCCAGTTCTAACGGAGTTTTAAGAACTGCCAAATGACCCTTGTTTTTGGTAGAGTACCTGCTCCTGCTGTCAGACTTTTTTTTATAACAGAAGATTCAGTTCCCAAACCGCCTGTTTTGTGGAATTCTGGGTCTCTGGTTTGGAGCCAGCTACTTGCCACTTGCCACTACAGTTTGTCTGTATATATGGTTAAGTTCTAATATTAATACCGTTTGAACAGTTCCCTGATGCCTGCTGTGGATGGCAGAGGGGACTCCGTCCTTTTGGAGCACAGGAGGGGAAAAATATCTGAAGAGAAACATACCATTATGTTACAGGGACCTTACCCTTCTGTGGGGAACTGCGAGAGTGGTGTTTCTCTCTTGTTCAATAAAAAAAAAGGGGGGAGGGGAGAAAAAAAGAAATCATTACATTTTACAATCTAGAAGACTTTCTGGTCCTGCCATGGGAATGCACAAGCTCAGTGTTTTCAGTATCGCTGCTTACAGCTGTGACTAAAGACATTCCAGTAAACCTATTTTTGACTGTACATCTGGAGTTCCTGCATGTCTTCATAGTCTTCTGGAGGACATTCAGGGCGCTCTGCTGCCAGGAGTTCCTAGGAAAAGGCTGTTTCAGTGTTTGCTTCACCAGAAGCAAGAAGTTTGAGTAAAGCCCAGCTATTAGCCCGATGATATGAAAGACACAGCGGAAGGACAGCAGCTCCCCAAAACCACTCCAGGGTAAAGAAGCCCACTTCATATTCGGAGCCCTTCATCTTGATGTGGTGGTTGCAGTCCTGAACACAAGCCTGTTTTGCTTCCCTGTGATCCAGCGGGCTGGGGGTTGTTCCCAGACAGATGTGCTGGGTGCTCGGGGAGGTGTAGGGGCCCACGTGCTGGACTAAACAGGAGCTGAGCCCCTCCCTCCATGGGTGGGACTGATGCGTTTTGGCTCTCTCCATCCTTGGTTGCAGGCATTGGTGGCATTTCTGTCTCCCCTTAATTTTTGGGACCCTCATTCCTTCCAGCCCTGAGCCTGGGACTTTATCTGAGCTGAGATCTGTCTCTCCTGGTTCTCTTTTTGCTGTCTCTTTTCTGGTAAGAGAAGCATTGTCTTGCTTAGTGTGTGTCTGAAGTAATGTTGGAGAGGGGAAACGGTGCCCCAGAGAATTCCCAGCTGTCCCAGCTTCCTCTTCTGAATCTGCCTGTAGGACCTTGTATGCAGTTTCCACCTGAGTGGTGGTGGGGCTCCATGCAGAGAGGGGGATTAAAAGTGAGCACAGCAGGCTGGAGGGTCAGATGTGATTACAAGCTCTGCTAATCCAGCTGGAATAAAAATAGGGCTTTTCCCCTCTGCGGGCCCTGATCTCTGCAGGTGGGAAACAGAAAGCCAAGCTGGGTTTTTCCTCCTGAAGTGTAGCCTGGTCTTAAGATCATGCATCCAGTGGAAGGGACAAAAATCATCCTGCCTATGCCTTTGGCTACTATCCACCTGCATGGGAACAAGAGGGTGGATGAAGAGGGACTGTGTATATCTTCAGGGGGGCTGCAGGTCTCACTGAGCTATTTGGTACCTTTTCCTGCCAGCTGGAAAGTGAGTTAAGGGCACTGCAAGCCTGTGTAATGGCTGTGCTGTGCCTGCTCTGGCCTGCCAGTGCACGCTTTACTCCTGCTGTGGGAGAGTCCTGCCAGTACCTCTGGCTTTCTCTCCCAGCCCCATTTTACCTTTGCTGCTGCCACCCACGGAAGGACCTTGGTGCCACAGCAGCACATCAGGACTTCAGGTCAGTGCTGGCACCAGGTCTGAGCAAGAGAAGTTAGTTTTGCAGTTGCTTGCTTTAAAGCTGGGCTGAGGGCCTTGGAAAATGGATGCTGGCAGGATGAAGGCTTCGCAGCAACCCTGCTGTATTAAAGAAGTGCTTATAGCTGCTGAATTTGGGAGCTGCTGCTGTGCCCTCTGTAGCCTTATCCTTGCTGGGTTTGGCAGATCTGTCCACAGCATGTCCTTAGGGAGAGCTTCCAGAACTCTCCTCAGTGCAGGTACCCGCCTGCCACCCCAAGAAGTGCTGTTGTTACCTCCATGCCAGCTGTGCGCTGCTTTGGACAGGCATAAACGCTTTTCCAGCTGACTCGGATCCATAGAAAACGAGGTGCCAAGGTTAGGAGCCCTGACCCTGGACCTTTGTGTCTTGTGCCTGCCTTGGACTCATCCTGCGGTACCAGCAGGACGGGACCATGCCCACCCCAGGCAGCTGAGCGCAGGCAGCAGGCTCTTGCCCTGGGAAAGCTGGCTTTCTTCCACGGCTTTGCCGGAGTGCTTTTGCAGCACCTCCCAGGAGGTTGGGGTGCAAGTGGTTGTACTTGGGGCACAGGGCAGGGAAAGCTGCCATGGCCAAAGCCTTCAGCACACTTTCCTTCAGTTGCCAGAATTAAGTGTTATCAATTTTAGGTTCAAGTCAATGAATGCTGGGGATGTCCCTAGGCACTGACGTGCTCAAGGGACCAGCTCTGGCTTTGAGAGGCTGCAGCAAATCAACGGTCCTGGTCAGTAACTTCACAGTAATAGACTTTACTGAGCAAGTGTGTTAGATTATTTTTAAATTTTTTTTTCAGGGCTGAAAAGACCTGTCTGGTCTCAGGTACATTACAGAGCAGTCCTCCTTATTTTCCTTTGAGGTACCATGGTCTTTATATTGCAGCCTATGCCATCCCACCCCGGACTGGTGGCAGGGAGAACTGTAGCGAGTGGAAAGGGTTGTTGTTTCCAGCAGCGTCTGCATGCTTTTGGGTTGGTTTTCACTTAGGAGATGTTATGAAGGAGATTTTACAACAAAAACAATTCCTCCACCTAAGCATAGAGTCTGTTTTATCCATTCCCTCTTTGTGCAGGAGACAAACCTCTTCATTAGCTGCTGTTTTCCACATGATTGCTTTTTTACAGGGAACGGCATGTTTTGGCTGGAGTTGTGTGTTCCTCCTGCAGGGCTGTTTCCTCCTCCCAGGCTTGCTGCTGTGACCCATGGGGTGAGACCCCGGGGTCTCCATGCCTGAGGGCAGGGGGGTTGCAGGGTTGGATGGCTGCAGCTGTGATGCAGGTGGGGAGGTCTCCCCACTCCCAGCTCTGGGAGCTGCACAGACCAGAGGGGAAGAAGTTCCTCCTGGGGAGTCCCCTTGCAAAACAGGAGCTTCTGGGTGGGCTGGGTGTGAGGAGGAGGCCCAAGTGCCGCAGTGGGAGAGCTCCCAGGACACCGCTGCTTTGCAGGGCACTGCTCCCCACCACGGTTTAGCTGGGGACCCATTCCTCTAGGGCTCCACGCCAGCAGCAGGGACGATCTCTTGACTCAAGCCCAGTTTTTGCTACAGCCGCCAGCTGGTCCTGCGTGTGCCTTCAGCAAGATGGAACTCGATCGCTCGTACATAGGAAAACTGGTGTCAGAAAGCGCAAGAACTTGCCAGAGGTCGGGGAGTGACTAGGCGCAGAGCGGGGAGCACAGCCCGCTGCCCAGTTCCACCCACCCACATGTGATTCTACTCGGGGAAAACAGGGAGAGGGATCCTCCG